GGGGGGGGGGGAAAGACGATGTAGAAAAAGTTGGGCGTACCTCCGGAAAAATCCTGACTACGCACCTGCTAAATCCTGAAACTGAACAACAGGAGTCTTGACGAAACGTCCTCAGTTATCATCTGTCCGGGGTCGTACTTTCAAGGAGCGCTGATCAAGAATCACTCATGACGGAATGAAAGCTCCTCGTAGCTTCCAGCGAAAAAAGGAGTGACAACAGTGGTAAGCGGTCGTTCTGTGAAATGTAACGCGATCTTTGCCGTTTACGATCTTTCGGCGCTTGGATTTAAAACGTTGTTGTTTGGTATGTTCTCCCGTGTGGATACTTGACATTTCCAATATATGGAAACACCATGCTAAGGTACGAACAACAGACATTCACAACATTGTTTTGTACGCTAAAATCTGATTTCATGGACGTAAAACGTTTTGAATTTTGAGACTTTTTAATATTAGTGCTTTGCCCTCCCTTTGACAACTTCACGTGACTGGTGCACTTGGCAGGAGTTGACAGCTTAAATCTGCCTTTCTTGATAGCAAACGGCATTAATTTATATCAGATCGCTGTATAAACACGTCTTGGTTTCTGAAAGCTGATAACATGAAACCACCGTTGCTCAAACTGATTTCTTATTGTATTTTTCCGAGTTTTTAGTATCGGCCCGCTGAGTCTGGAAAGCTCAAATTTCAGAAAAGTACTACTTGTATTTTTTGGCCTCAAAAATTTTCTTTTCAGTTGCCCATAGTTTTGAAAACGGATTTTGAAAGAAGAGATAACTTTCTTTAACATGGTATAAGACTCGTTACTGAAATCGAAGTACCAGTCGACGATTTGGGGCTTTGAAATTTGCCATTTTTTCATTGAACGAAAACTTTCAAAATATTGAAAATAATGAAAAATCTCCAAAGTATTACATCTTCGTTCAAACTGAGTAAATCACCACTTAAAGTTATGTGCTCTTCTGAATAAGTTATTTGTTGTCCGCATTACAATGGATTTGAATTTTAAAACGATTTTTTGTGACATGGTCTTGGGCCTGGAAAACCCGGTCCGAGAGCCGCGAAACCAATAACCCCCCCGTGCGTGGAAAATAATTATCGGATCGAACTAAAAATTACATTTATGTTAATAGCTTACCTAGTGCTACTTTGTGAATTTTTTTGAGAATTTTCGATTTTTCACTTTTGTAGACCTCTGGTTGATATTTAGTGACATCCGCTCTTAAGCAGCGAAGTCGCGCGGGTTGCGAGGGCGCGAATAGGAGCGAAAAGAGAGTCTCTCTTTCCGCTCGTATTCTAGCCCTCGCAGCTCGCGCGATTTCGCAGCTCAAATACTCTCGCTTACAGATTTTCGAGCAAAAGAGTGCTCGCAGTCTAGTTTATATTTTACCGACAGCACTGTTCGACGACTACCCAGAAAAGCGTTTCTCACGGATAAGTAAGAGAATCCAACCATATCAGTACCTGCCGCTGCGAGGCCTAGAAAAATAAAATACAACTATGAAACACAAAATCTGAATAGTCATGGAGGTATGTATAGTGCGCATTATTTTGCAAAAATTAGCATAACGTCAAAACAGTGAATGTTGTAACGCAGATTTTTGACCGGTTCGTAGGATAGGTTTGTCTTGAAATTTTAAGGTGTTGCAGTACATCAATCTTAATGAAAGTTTCAGACATTATTATATACATTATGAAGATTATGTGAAGAGATTTTAAAAAAATTCGTTCGAGTCGTTTCAGAGATATACAAGAAAGCGCTAAAAGTCCAAATTCTGAATGAAGTTGCACTTAGATAGGTGGTGAGAAAACGGGTTAGTTTTCAAGATCGCGAGAACGAAAATACACCAAAATTTCCTGGCATCAAAATATGATATTAAGCAGCATTCTGACGCTACTTAAGAATAATTGAGTTATTTATAACGTCTTTATTAAATAATCTATCACGGCTATTGAAAATTTAAGGTTTGACATATATTTTCGTTTTAGTCGAATTCAAACATACAGAATTTTTCACTTCTTACGGAGATTGTTTGCTAAACACCAAACTTTAAGTTCCTAGTGTGGGTTTTTCAGTAGCAGGTCTAGATCACACAAAATTCGGCTTTTATCAATTTCAAAGTTTTTTGTTAATTATTGTCATAGTAACATCGATTTTACTTAAAACTACATTTTCACAAATTTCAATCCATAGCCAATTACTGGTGAAAATTTTGTAGCGATCGGACTAGGAAAAAACCACTTTTAAGGCGATTGAAAAATATCGGTACGGCCTCTGAAAAACTGTATCGAAACACCTTAATCACTGATAACGTCATTGCAGATACCATGGAAAGTGTACAAAGAAATGCATGTATATATGGGCCAATCGAGTTTGCGGCCGCTATGATCCACATGCGATTCGCGGGCGACAAAATTACAAACCTTAACTACGCGAAGGCCTTAAGCGCCTCGTTACGCGAGGAATGAGTCGCCTTAAGAGAAACCTTACTTTAGAACAAAAATCCCCCTTGAATTCTGAAGCCTACTCCAGTATTAAATTGTCGAAAACCCTTATTCTCACAGCGGAATACAGCTTTATACGCCATAAAT